ACATAAAATCAATCTAGTCATTTTATTATTAGTTGTTGCTCCTACAACTACTACTATTATTATTATTATCATTCTTATTATTATTATTATCCCTTCTATATATAATTGCTGCATAATGCACTGAGCTTAAGTGGCAGTCTCGCACGCTTCGGAATCCTATTTGGTGAAAAAACATGATTCGGACAAACAATAATATTATTCTAAATAATAATTACAGGTTCGGATATTCCAAAAATATTGAAAAAACTAAGTTGGTAATTCCATAATAGTTTGACTATATAACTCTTATGTTGTATGAGAACCTTTGGTAGTTATACTGATTGACTAATATAACCTTGATTTATTTTGGAAACTCTCAGTCGACTCATTAATTTCCATGAAAACCTCAAATTAGCCTAATAAATACATATATTTAATTTTTAAATAATTATTGTTATTATTATTTAATTTTAAAATAATTTTCTTAACAATTATTCGTGTAGTACACGGGTATTGTACTAGTTATTGTTATTATTGTTACTACTACTTAAGAACGTATTTGGAAAGGGTTAGACATGTCGAAGAAACAAAAGCCCAAGAATAAAGGCATACCCAATATTTATGTTGGGTATAAGCTGATTTTGATTTCCCTTCCAGTTTGTAATGAGGCCTACCATTCAAACCGAACACACCCTAGTTGGGGCCCATACTTTGAGCCCAACAACAGGGATCGTTGTTGAGCGTGACATGGACAAATCGCCCATACTTTGAGCCCGACAACAGGGATCGTTGTTGAGCGTGACGTGGACAAATCGCCCATACTTTGAGCCCGACAACAGGGATCGTTGTTGAGCGTGACGTGGACAAATCGCAACCGTAAGGTTTCACTATGGATGTCCGATTGACCCGTGTTGTTTTGGGTTCTTCTACTGGTCCTTTGCTCAAGGTTGACTCAACTACTATTGAAATAGATATGAGATAATGATAGGTCGCACTTAGGCTTGTGAGATTAGGTAAATCGCACAACACAGCTAATCACAAATACCACAAACCCTTGATCCTTACCATAACATATTGGTCCAATTTGTTCAATAATTCAAAACTGGCACTCTTTCTCTTACATTTTTTATGTTGCATTTTTCAGTAGCTCGGTAAAAATTGCCAGTCAAATAATTAGCTTTTAGATTGGGAATATCAGCCTTTTATTGATTGAAAAATAAAAGCACGAGAGACGATGCTCGAAGCTGCTGCAAAAAAAAAAAACTGAGATATTATATGTTCGATGTAAACTCACACCACTGCTTCATGATATCATTTCGTAAGCTACCTCTGAATACAAAGTGCATTCACCTAACATCTGAAAGCGAACTACATAATCAAAATCAAGGCACCAAAAAAAATAAAATCCACGATTTCCTTGCCACCATAGCTTCTTCACTTGTGCAGAATATTCCTGTTAATCATACTTATAAGTTCTCAAGCAAACATTTTGTTTTCCAGCACTTGTTTAGTTTTTGTCAATGAACATAGTACCAGCCTCATCAGCAAAGAGCAACTGAAAGCAGCTAACCGGCTATCATATATATAAAAGGGTCTATTTGGGTTTACTGATAACCCTCCTCTTGTTCGGTTTGACTTTCTGTCTGTCGTCCCTTTTTCTTTTCTTAATTTGTTTCTGGATGGATTTGTTAACCAATGAAGGTTGTTCTTTCAATGCAAAGCTTTTGGCCACGTGGCCCAGATGAAGTTTTTTCACAGTAAAAATCTGTTTCAGCTCACCACGGTGGGCAGTGTATGCGCGGATCCATGAGCTGAAAGCATCCATAGCTAATTTTTTCATCTTCGGCTGGTAAAGAAATTGAAAAAGAAACTATTAGTACAAATTACATACCAAATAATGGACAGGGTCCCAGAACCTACAGAAGAAAAGCATTCTTAGGAACAGGCCGTGAGTTCAACGCATTGAAGTACAGAGGATTTTGATATTTTAATATTAT